GGCAGGGCTCCGCTCCCTGTGCGTTACCTGTATCTGGGTGGGGTTCCACAGGTAGGGCTGCTGTCTGTAGTATTCTGCCAACGCTGCAGTGTAGTCTGGCACCGAACTCTGCTGAGATGACTGACCTACACACAAAAACACAGATTAGGTCTCTGCTGCCGTCCAGACAAGGAGATGCATTAACTCAGATTTCCCACACTGCAGTACAAACCGGCTCCAGTGAAGAACAGGATCATGTATAGTATCTACTTGGCCTCTAGTACATCAAGTATTTCTTTCTAAGATCTTTATTTTTAATTTACACTCTACCACATGGTGCATTTTCCTAAATAAAACCACCTTTCATCGAAGAACAGAAAAGCTACGGCCAGGTGTAGAGGCCCATTTACAGACTAAATGTTTTGGATGCACTGTTTACGTCTGTCACTCGCCCACCTCAACAGACCCCTGGACTCCCAGGTGTCACTGCAGGCCCATGTTTTTCTCCAAGACAGTTGTATAAATGACACATCTGAAATTCACTATGAAGCTCTGCTATGTGGAGGAGAGTTACAGATTCACCTGAACACTGCCCGTCCATGCACTGACATGTCCACCCTAAGTTTAATGACCAGTGAGGTCATGTGAAGTTTTTCTCTCAGACAACACACAGACCTGTGTTTTCAGTGGACCCTGGGCCTGTGTGTCCTGGGAGAAGAGTTGCTGCTACTCCCACCTCTGGTCATTACGGTTTTACTTACAGTTCACATCTGAATAAAAACCACTACAACTGAATATCGTTCAAAGATAAAGAAACCAAGCACAGAGCTCTGTGGAGTAAAGATGCTCACGTCAACCAGTGAAACCTGTGTGAAGGGTTAAGGCCCTTTCACACCGGACGCGAATTTAACGCGCGATTTATTCGCGCGTCAATAATATTTTTCGAACCAATAACTTGTCAATGATACATTGCACACCGCCGACGTAATTTCGCGACGCGAAAAGCGACAATTTTTTTCGTCTCCGGGTCGATTTTTCCAACTCATCGCGGCGACGGCAGCACTTCTGACCAATCACAATGCAGCTTGACACGAATTTTGTTTTTTTTTTTAACCTCAGACACACGGCCAGGCGCTGTTCTGGTTCGATCGGATCCCTGTAATTATTTTTCTGTTTTATCGTGTGGGGGTCAACAGCACCAACAACTCTTCAAACTGTCCCACAGACATCCTGAAATAGGTCCTAAAGCGACCATGATACAACTTCAGTTCCTGTACCAATCGATGAAACTCGCCATGTTCTCTCCTTATTTTCAATATAGGATGGACCCAAAACCTTCTTTGTTTTCTTTTTTTATGTAGCAGGACAAGCAGTACATCGTCGTCGCTTGATGTGGAATCCAGCTTTGTAGCGCGACGTTTTAAGAAAATATCGCTTATTCGAGTCGCGTTCGGTGTGAATACTTTTGGTGCGTCAAATTCGCCTGCGTTTTTTTCGCTTTTTCGTCTCGCTTATTCGCGTCGTGTTCGGTGTGAAAAGGCCTTAATATCCAATAATTTACTGCATTGATGATTTGCTCCCTTTTGCAGACAGGCAGCCGTACTCTGTTTCTTGTAGTAGTCCTCCCAGGCCTTACTGTACTCCGTCATCATGCTCTGAGGCTGGCTCTGCTGACCTGCAGGTACACACAACAAACACAAGCCCCTTCAGACATGGGATCGTACAATCCAGAACGTCTTTGGTCTGTTAAGGCCACAGCTTTCTGACATTCAGACACAGCTCACTTTCACTTCAGGGCTTCACTCAGACACACCCACCATTGCAACAAAGACAGCCACGGTATGTGCATAATATTTGGCATACGTGTGAGATTGGACAGCACCAAGTCACACAATGTATGAAGCCAGTCTACAGCAACATGGCAGCCGAACCGGAGTGTGTTCCAAGAGAACTTGTTTCCTCACGTCATTGCTGTTTAGGGCCTTCTCCAAAACAAGCATCCCTTACATTAAGTGGAGTAACTCAGAGACGTGTACACCCAGACTGCTGTGACTGGTTGGCTCACGGTGGGTGACTCTCCGTTAGTGACTGCATGCAGCTCAGACCGCCGTCGCAACTATTCCAGAGGAGTGACCACGGTGCTCGTTCAAACATGACACCGACACACTCAGATGCCATCAGATTAATGGAAAACAGGGCTCTACAGACTTCCTGCTTCATCTCCACCACTCAGAACACACAGGAAGTTCAGCCAGTCCCAAACAAATGCATAAAAGCAATCTTCAGAGCCACTCTTGGGGTGAAAGCCAGGAAATCTGAAGTGTTTTCATTCTCTGTTGGCTGCCTGGTCAGGCCAACGTTCAGGAAAATGTCTCCTTCTGTTCAGCCTGGGCTCAGTCTTCCTCCTCACACCCAGAGATCAGCTGTGGTCACAGAAAGACGCCGCTGCTCGGAGACGCTCTGTGGCCTTCACCTTGATCATGTCTGGAGGGTGTGTTCTCCCTGACCTCCTCAGACGACCCTCTGCTGTTCTTTGTCTTGTCCATGTCCAGTGTGGTCACACAGTGATAAAACAGCACAATGAGGACTTTTCTCCACTTACAGGCTGAATCACTGACAAGGCTGAACACAGCTGTGATAGTAGCTGAAGACAAATATCACAACAATCCACTTATCACCACTTCTAAAGGAACCAGTCATTTTCTTTGTCTTATTCTGTTTTAGGCTGCAGGTGCATATGGTGGCAAATATGAGGAGACTCCTGACTGAGTGGAGACCCAACCAGCAGGGTCACTGATCAATCAGCTGATCATTGTCCTGATGATCTGACTGATCTGTTTATACCCAGAACTCTCCAGAGCCAAAGGTGGCGTCTCCACACGTCTTGTTGTGTCCAACCAACAAACCCACAGAGACTCAGCTGATTCTCATGTCTGACAAAGAAAAGCATCAAGTCCACACATTAAAGAAGGTGGAACCAGAACATGTCGGTGACTGTTGCTTCTAAATAGCTGAGGTTCATTTTCTACCAGTGAACTGACTCATGGCTGCAGCTCTAGGTCACTGAGTGGCTTCATGAGGACGACGCAGAGCGTCGGACGCAGTGAGGGGATCTGGTTTGGAAGGAGGAGGCTTCCTCCTTTGATAGAGGAGACCTGATGCTGCTCTGGAGACTCAGCCCTGCTGGGCGCTGGTTTGTCCTGTCAGTTGTTGCCAGTTGTGTTCACAAAACAGTTTTAATTTCAACAGTTCAAAAAGAGCCGTGTGGCTGCAGTTTCTACCTCCTGCCTACCAACGAACCAAAGATCAATGACTGGAAGGTCGGAGGGCTTTTACATTCAGATGTAACATGACCATCACAGTTCACCGAGGGACAGACACACACCTTTTGATTCACTTCTGAAACAAACTATCAACAGCATCCTGCCTTAATACGACAACACTGATGTTACAACTGTGTATCACCCTGCTTAGTGTGTGTGCGTGTGTGTGTGTGTGGGGGGACTTGCCTAGCTTCTTATAGTACTGCTCCCATGCTTTAGAGTAGTCCACCTGTCCTGTCTGAGCCATAGTGTGACCTACACACACACAAACAGAGTCTTAGTTGCTGGACTCAAAAAGTCAGCGTGTGTTTACATAACTGTGTGTATTTGTGTGTAAGAACACTACTGTATGATGTGTGTAGGTACACAGCAAACTACTGTATGGACACTATCCTGGTGACTGTAAGGAAGCACTGAACAACACAAGGCCACCACAGCTCCTCTCCTGCACGCCACTCTGCTGCAACCACCACACGTTTCCTGCTCTCTCACCACCTCGTGTCTTTGTTTAGGTCTCATCTTTGAATGGTTTGTTTTCTGGTGGTTGTGGGGAAGCTTGAGGCTTCCAGAGACTATGAGGATGCCTCTCTTCACAGGGTTCCACTGTAATCAGTCCCATTCGGACCAGAACCATCAAGATAAATGAGCTGCGACGCTGGGGAGTCAAACACAGCAGCGGGTGACATGACCCATGTAGCGTCAAATAGTTCAGTTGATTCAGATCCACTGTTTTCCGTAGCAAACAGTGGGATCTGTCAGCAGTTACTATTTTTAATGACTTGTACAGCCGAGCAAGCTAACTGTTGTGTTGTTGTCGATAGCACAGCCAATTTAGCTAGTTATTAAAGTGAACCGATATTTGAAAGAAACAGCCAAAAGGTTGTAAAACGTGTTTTGACACATGTAAAGTTAAAATGTCACAGTTACTGCTACTGATTTCAGCTTCTTACAGCTCAGTCAGTGTAACTCTGTGGCGCTGCTGCTAGTGTTTGGAACCATTCAGCGTTCCCATGATCCACTGTTACTGTAACAAAACGGTCCTTACAGAGTCAACGGAAACATCAACACCCTCCTGATTAAACCACTCTGGTTCGGACTAAAACCTGTTCACTGGGTGCGGCCTGAGAGGAGAAGATAAGCTGTGGGAGTACATGATTCTGTTTAGCCAACATGCAGAGGAAGGTTCAGACGGTTGACTCAGGTTGAACTAAATAAAAAGAGGCTCCTTGTTGATGCGTCTGTCCTTCAGTTTTGTGCTTTGACTCATTTTCCTCTGAAATATTTGTTGGGTTGGGATGGAGACATATTCATTATGGAAATGTAGATTGGACTGTCACATCTTTGGACTGTTAGCTAAATGATCTGTTCCTATATCAACACAGGGCGAGGATAAGTTCATTTTAGATTCTGAAGGAGGACTGCCATGTTTTAGATGATGATCAATATACTGTACATTTATGATGATTAAATATCTTCCTTGTAATTTTTGTATGACCTAGTGGGAAAGGCTCTGCTCGAACAAAAAGATGACTAATAGTTTGAATGTATGGTTTCTACGGCGACATGTCAATCACGATTGGATGCAAGAGACCGGAAACGACCTCCAGACATCGCCCTGATGAAGGTGCGAGGGCTGCGAGCTGTGTGATGAGTTTTGATCTTGTGTCAGACATGATTCATGCAGTCACTGTCAGGTCTGAGATACCAGTTTGATCAGGTTCAACATCAACAGGTGGGAAACAGAAAAACGCAGAGAATCAGTAACAGAATGTTGGTCGAGCGTGTGTGTGTGCGCGTGTGTGTGTGTGTGTTACCAGGGTCCTGTTGTCCAGGGCTCTGCCAGCTGGTCTGGTAGGTGTTTCCCCAAACTCCAGTCAGGAAGGTCTGACCACTGCCACAGCTACACACACACACAACATATGCATGTCAATAAAACACACTCCACAGTGTACAGTCACACAGACACACACACCGGCTCCACATGTACACTACAGTTGCAGGCACAGGTTCTTGATAAGTTCCAGATATCACCATTCTGCTGCACGTCACCCCAGACTGACTGGACACACTGTGGATATTCCTACAGGTTCACATGCATGCTCTCCTGTCAGCTGACTTCTTAACGGTCATGTGAACAGAAACCTGGTTTGTGTAACTGGGACAGGGGATTAGAGAAACCTGATATCTGAGGCTGACTCCTGCTGGACAACACTGACATGGGCGGAGGTCCATGTAGCAGCGTAAACCAGTTTCTAATCAGCAGAACAAAGCACTGCGGACAGGGAGACCGGCGGAGTCGCTGCATGGGAGGAGATCATTGCATGCAGTGAGACCTCATTAGGGGTGCAACAGATCACGAAAGCTCACAGACTGAGGCATGGATAAAAACAAAACAAGTCCAAAGTTTCAAATAAAAATACCCAACAAACAACTTTCAAATGAACTGAATCAAGTAGCTCATGAGCCTGAACATGATAAAACGACAACTGCTGCACAATTGTACCATTTTTGACTGTTTCCAGTGCAACGTCTGTTTTGGCGAACACAACTGCTTTGTATCATTTCACTGCAACTCTGCATTGAGATTTAGGGGATTTTTACTTTAAGTACCAGTGACAGTAACATAGTTCATAAGACGAGTCAAGGCCCACTGTGAAAAATCACTCTGACGTCGGCTGCACCTCTGTAATACAGGTAGTACATGAGGATTTTACAGGTATGATGCAGTGGTATGGGCCACAAATCACCAACATCTCTTTGCCATGTTTAATGTGAGCAACAAAGCGATCCGAGCTCCTATTGGTCAGTGTAGCCCCAGCATCTTGTGGATTACAAACAACTCTGACACGCTAGACTTCGTGCCGGGACGTTGTGAGGTGTCCCAAATGTGGCATTCGTCACTTTACTCTGACACTGTACAAAATATAATGATCAGTAGAAATGTCCCAGTCCAATACCGAGTATCGGTGTTGGCGCCAATCCAGATATAATTCACAGGATCAGTATTGGCCAGAATGAAACTGATTCAATTTCCATCCACATGTAGAACCACAGTCCTGTATCTGAGCAGACTCGGTTGCGCTTCTGAGACACGTCATGCAGCCAATAAGCTGCTACCTTCACCAGTCCAGCTGCCTGTGTCGGGGTTGGCAGATCACTCAGGCAGGTAGCTGTGGATTGAAGCCCGTGTTTAGCTTCAGGGCTATTTTTTTGGATTTATGCGTAAAACACGCCACAGAATCCACCAAAATAACGAAAGCTTACTAGTTCCAATCAGGACTGTGTAAACCATGTTGTCAGAACTCAGCATTAGACTGAAACACAGAGAAGATGCCAAAGAGTGCTTTTACAACCACAACAGCAAACCAGTCAATCAGAGAACAGTATGAAAAGGTGCAGAATACAGTGGGAGACATGACCTGAACCTGGAAGATCATGGTTCTCTAAATGTAGGCTAGTGGTGAGCATCTTACTTCTGGTGTGTGGCGGGGCCCTGGGTGAAGGGACTGAAGCCAAATCCTCCATTACTCATAATACCTGAACCCTGCAGGAGGAGAGAGCAGAAAGAGAGAGAGAGCAGAGTTTATTCTGTTTCCTGCATCTTGTTTTGCCTCGTTCACGTCTCATATCGAACACACTCCTCATGTTTGCTTGTAAGCCCATGCACAGTGCCTGGACAAAAGATGCACAATAAAATCCACATAGGTTCGACCACACACCAAACCCTGGGTCCAGGTCATAGTTCAGATCTGCTGATCCAGAGTGTTCACATTTACAGGGCTCAGAGAAACTGGCTCCTGTGAGAAAACAGATCCAATCTAAATCTACAGACTTGCAACTAAGATCAAACTCTAGCTGCGCTGAGGACTAGAGTCTGGTCTTACTGCACTGAGGTGTGTTTGGTTTTCATACCCCGATCTTGTCGTCTATGAGCTGGCGGGCCAGGTCCATCTGCTGGGGAGTGCCTCTGATGGTGAAGACCCGGGTGTTGGGGTCAGTGGAGGGGGGAGGGTTCCTCTGCAGCTCCACGTGAGCTCCAGACTGCTGGATAATACTCTTGATGGTTTCTCCACCTGTGTTCACACACCGACAGCATTACACCAGCACATTGGCCACTGCGGTTCATCTCATTATTAAACTTTACATGTGAGGCAGAAGGATGAAGCCGCACTCTGGTGCAGCGCATCGGCTGCTGTTACATTTAAGACTTTAAAGACCCGTTTTAGACACCCTGAAGAGAATTTTGGACCCATTTCCTATCCACACCGAGAAACGGCATTGATTTTCATTATAAAGGCTCTTTTTTATTGAAACAGCACATTAACAACTTTTACATAAGAACACAAGAGTATGAGTGTGGACACGAGTGTACTGGAGGTTTAACATGTAGCTTGTGTGTGTGAAGGTGTGTTCAGCTCTATTCACTCTGGAGACACACAGATCAGCCATAACATTATGACCACCTGCCTAACACTGTTTACATAGGAGTCCTTGTGGCAGTTGGTCGGCTCTTGTGTCACTCTGCAGCTCACTGTGCATCTTCTGTGAATCCATCTGCTTCCACAGTTCTACTGTCAGGAAGAGCACAGAAGTGTCTACAATTCAGTCAAACACTTATGTAAAAGGAGTGAAAACTGTGGTCGTGAGGATAAGTTAGAATTATTTAGACCAATCCAACAGCCTCACCACTCTAGGTGTGATATCACCACTACAGCCCCTGACTCTTTCTCTTCATAAAGACCAATGTACAGTATTTCTCATTTTCAACCATTTTAACAAAGATTCAAATACATTTTTTTGAAAAGTACAAATGGAAGTTAAAAGTTTAATCTACAGTAGATCAACCTCGTCATCAGTGAGCCGTGGGAGTCCATGACCCTGTCTCCAGTTCCACATTTGTCCTTCCTTAGACACTGTTGGTAAGTACTAACCACTGCAGACCAACAACATCCACCAAGACCTGCAGACTGGGAGATGCTCTGACCCAGTCATCTTACCACCACAGTGTGGCCCTTGTCAAAGTCACTCAGATCCTTACACTTGCCTGTTTTTCCTGCTTCTAACACATCATCTTTGAGGACTGAATGTTCACGTGCTGCCTAATAAACCCCCCCACACTGACGGGTGCCACTGTAACAGATGGTCAGTTTTATTCACTTCACCTGCTGGTGGTCATAATGTTATGGCTGATCGGTGTAGCTCTGTGAGGAGCAACCAGAGCACAGACCAGTGACTCTGGTTGTTGGAAACAGACGGCCTCCCTGAGGAGGAAACCTGCTGGTCTCTGGACAGGGTGTGTGGAGAGTAACACACACACCATCACCGGCTGCGTCAAAGAAAAAAAAGCAGAACCTGAACTATCACAGGGAAACAAATGATGAACCGGTGAGAAACTCATTACGAGGACACTGTACCGGTTCCTATTCAATGTTACCGTCCAGCTTGCTTAAATTATTCTCCTCCTCTTCTCAGCGAGTCCTACTAACGAGGCTGTTTTTTTTTATTGTTAAAACATCTGGTCTGTTACACTCAAATTCTTCCTGTGTACTGGTTGATTAAAAGTATATTAATACAAAGTGATGGTTTCCTGACTAAAACCCAAATAAACACGTATGTGGCTCTGGTTCTGCCGACACCAGGAGCAGGTTTTCACCGCTCTGCCAGTGTTCGACAAATTCTCCAAAGATTTTGCTGACAAATTAAACATTACTACATATCTGAAGCATTTATAAATGCCAATCTTTCTTTTAGCTCTGGTGGCTTCAGACAGCAGGCCCTTCGTCTGACACACAGTCATGACACACACACACACACACACACACACATATGCCATATGGTGTCTAAACACACTGGGTACTTGACATCTCTTTAGCATTGCTGCTTTTATTTTGGAAGCTGCAGCTTGACCCTCTTGACCTACAACACACACACGGAGGCAGGCTGGTGAAAGGCTGATGTTTTAAAGAGGCTTTTAAACAGTGGGGCTCATGGAGCTCTCCTCCTGAACCTTTGTTCATCGTAGGGTTGTTTTCCTTGGGGCTACAGTCCCAAATGTTGTTTCTCTGCAGGGATGTGTCACAGAAGCATCGACTAAGAAGGCCACGATCGATCTTTAAACACTTGACACAATTACTGGCGCCTTTGACACACCTTACATACATAAGAAATACACTGGCCTGTGTCCACATCCCAGCGCGTCAGACCTGATGCTTCCACAGAAGTGTGAACCCACCAGAGCAGATGTGGGCCACCTGCTGCAGGCTTCAGAGAAAGTTAAACCCGTTAAAGCCCAAATTAACAAAACGATCATCAGCTGTACTGTGTGATCAGCGCCGCTTTGCATGATGATATTAGAAGTGAACAGAATGGCCACAGATCCGATTCCTCCTTTTTATAGCTTCTTTAACTGTGTAGAACAGTAACTGGACATCATCAAAGCATGAAAACCTTTCAAATCAAGTACCAGGACTGTCACGGGGTTTGTGCATGCCAAGCAGTCGCCAATGAGCACTTAAACGTTCGCACCCTCACACCTCGAGCGTTAGCTTTAGAAGCACCATGTGTAGACGCACAGCTGACTGCATGTGGTGGGAGCAGCCCCTCCCTCTACTAAACAGAGATCAACAGAGAGAAAGTACAGTGGAGAAACAAAGCAGGACGGTTTGGCGTCGACCCTGGAGGCTACGCTCGGTGATGGTTGAGCGACATACAGGGTGTACGGCTGGTCAGGTTCCCACCGTGGAAATGCAGCACAGTGTGACTGGTGATCGATCAGTTCAAGTCTCGGTGAGCCAAAGTTCTCTGATCCTCTAAAGGCTTCACCACTGACTTGGGGAAAGTAACGTTCTCACGTTAACTTGCTACGTAAACTGCCTTTAGATAAAACTGAACTTTTCAACAAAATGATTAAAGTGGAGCTCTGCCGATTTTCAACAAGGTCTCAATAATTATAGAACTGTACTACAACTCAGTGACATTGATCTTCCCTCCGTGCTTCATGTACACAGATGTGCCAGCTGCAAGAGGCCGAGCAAATGTTTCTGAGTGCACCCCCGAGTGAAACGGACTCCTCTCCCTACCTTTGCCGATGACCAGGCCACACTTGTCAGCAGGGATGGTATAGGTCACTTCCTGTAGGGGGCCAGGAGAGCCCATAGTCCAATCACCACGACCTCTGACCCGGCTACTCCGCAGGGCTGAGCTGAAACCGTCACGCTCCTACGAAATCAGGAAGATGAAGAGAGTTTACAGCGATCATCAGCAGTCCGGCCTACACTCACCGTCCTTTGTGTGGGTGTTACCTGTGCGGTCTGAATGAGCTCATTCATGAGGTGGACAGCGTGCTGGCAGCGATCTGCCTGTCCCATGACCATGGCGACACGCTCCGGACTGATGCCATCATCTGGAGACCAAACGGACACACAAAGAGGTCAACACCTTGTAATCTACTTTATTCTGGTGTTAAAATGGAACTGTCATAAACAGACTTGTTTACTCCAGATTATTGCCTTTAAACTGGATTTTCTATGTAAACAGACCTACTTTTAATTGGATTACACTGGATTTGATCTGGAATGGATCACAGTGATAAACAGACTAGTTTTCAACTGGATTATAGTGGCATAAACAGACCAGCGTTATACGCATTTCCTGGTGTAAACAGACCTGCTTTAAACTGGATTCGGACCCCTGCATCGTTCTGGATCTTCTTGATCATTTCTCCATTTCTGCCAATCACAATGCCAACAGCGAACCTGGGAACTGGAACCTGGAAAAAGAATCTTTTAATCTAAATACTGATTTAATGGAGAGTCACAGAAGTTGATGTATGCGTTTCTGTGTGTCTCGTACGTCCAGGCTGGCTCCCCCCAGTCGGGCACTGAAATCACTGCGTCCCGACCTGAAATCTCCATCCTTCTCCCTGATGACCTCCAACACCAACTCCCTCGCTGCCTGGAGACCGAGAGGAAACAGAGGCGGTTGTTCAGTACATTTAACTCTGGCTAAAGTGTCTGACTCTGTGCGCTCTTGTACTTCTATCTCTGTAAGGACCAGTTGGATTTTTAGACCCTGAGCACGAGCACATTTTAATTTATTTTGACTGAGTCCCACATACACTGTCCTGCTGCCCTAAATACTCGATACAGCGCCACATGTGGATTCATCTGCTGCTGAAAATAGCTTTCTATTTTAAAAGTCATACAATTCTGTACATTTGTGAGGTTTTTATTTAAAGGTCTACATCCTCACTAGGACTTCGTGAAGTGCAGGTGTTGACAGGCACACTAACACATCGCTGGTTTGAATGTGGACATGAGATTTGTCACCAAGAAAAATCCAGAACACCAGACATATATTTTAGGCTAGAATCAGGCCAAGGCTGCGCTGGCGACGGTCCTCTCAGATTTAGAATAAAGCCTGTGTACCTGCACTTTGTACGGGTCTCCAGAGATACGAAGGGGTTTGTCGGCTCCTGTCGGCATCGGACCGTCTTGGATCATCATCATCTTTACTCCCGCTCGCTCCTAACACACAGAAGAACGACAACGCATATCAGAGGTGTTTAAGGGATGATACCTCAGCAGGTGTATGAACACACCCTACCTGCAGCTGTTTGATGGTGTCTCCTCCTCGGCCAATCACCAGCCCCACCTTACTCGCCGGGATCAACATCTCCTGCACTGAGGCCCCGCCTTCACCATCACCATGGAAACCTGGACCATTTCTGCAGCGGTCGACAATTTGGACCAGCAGCCGCTTCGCATGCCTGAGAACACACAGAAAATACACGAGGGGATTTAGCAGCAGGCGGCGGTCGACGGGTGAGGTGACGTGAAGGCGGATGTTCAACACTCACTCGATGCTCTCTGGAGTCCCAGTCAGGGAGCACGGCCGCTCCATCAGCCCGCCGCTGTCTGCAAACACACACAGAGGAGAGGTTACATTCTCAGCAGACAGGAGAGGCCACAAACTGGTCCCATGGCACAAACTCAAGTCACCCCAGTCCAAACTTTTATATCGCCCCTTCATAAAGCTCTGCAGTCTAAAGCCCACAGCAATAATCTGTAAAAATATTAACCCACTGAACAGAGTTAAAATAAAAAAAACTGGATGAAATGACAAAATACACAAGTACTCAGTTTTTACTCAGTGTATACAGAGTAAAAGTACTCGAGGGAGTAAAACATTAAAATGCAGTAACACCAAAGGATGAACAGCATAAACAATGGCTATAAAACCTTCTAACCAGGAACGAGGCTAAAAAGTTGGTTTGTGTTTAAAAACATCAGGACAAGTTTTTGTCCTGTGCTGAGGAACAAGTCAAATAGGCCGAGGAGCCGAGACGTCATCCTGGTTCATACCCTGGAAGCACGTCATGCAAGGAGGCCGGTTTACAGGCAAATATGGGTCTGCTTTAGGTTTGTTCTCTGTACTGCATTTTGGATGGAGTTCACTGAGAAATAAAACTATTCATGGCTTTGTTTTTGACAGGATCCACACTTCAGCAGTGACAATGGAGTAAACATGGACACTATAACTGAAGACATCACATTATTAGGGGGCGAACAGCAGACAGACTCACCAGCAGCAATCTGGATCTTGCAGCTGGATTCCACCTGGATTCTGGTGATCTGTTCTCCTCCTCTGCCAATAACTGGAGGAGGAGAGGAGAATCACTTAGAGAGAAGCTTCATCAGCTGTTCACATGTTCCTGTAACAAACAATCGCTTCTGGCTGCATCCATATCCCAGCTCTAGTTTCTCAGACCTGGTGTGTCCACAGCAGTGTGAACAGACTAGATGTCCTCAGACCAGATCTGGGCCACCTGCCTATGTGCTCCTAGACCTAATTCCTCTCCAACCTCTGACTGTACAAGCGCCGTCAGAACGGTCAGATCAGAATCCATGTGGCCGTTTTAACATCTCCTCCTCTGCACATACGGCCTGTTGTCATCATTTGGTGTTGGCCCCTTACAGACCGGTAACAATAAACATGGACGACAGCGACAGGGTCAGTGGAGAGACCAGGATGTTTCAAATGCACTGGACGTTTATGGAGAAGCTTCTGATCAGGCCAAACTGGGAGGAACATATCGTAACCCAGTGGTTTGGGAAGAAACTGGGCCATTTGACCATCGCACACACCACCTGGTTGTTATTCTTGTGCACATTTCAGTTATATCTGTGCACGTGGTAGTTTAGGAGCTGAGCTGGGAGCATCTGACACACACGAACGAGAAAGCAGCGACGCAAACAGATCATAGCTGAGAGTTAAGGCCCGGGACGCCTGAGTTTAGGGTAGAGCTGGTTCTGATAACTGGTTCCATTTTGGACGCCAAGTCAGTAGAACACCTGGATTCTTTAAGCTCAGCAGCCAGGGAGTTCTTGTCTGGGTTCTAGGTCAGGTTCTGGACTCAACGCAATAGTCCCTATCAGTGTTACAGGGACGACAAAATGAGACTGGATCATCACACTGGTCCAAAGATTTCAGCTGCTGTTAGAAACTCCAGACTGACTGGACGACAGAGCCCCGAGACACCTGACTGGCAACACAAAGTGAAAGGTCAGAGGTCATACTCACTGAAGCCCACCATCCTGTCGGGGACCTTGTAATCCTCTGTGATTACCCTGCTGCAACACACAAACACGCACAGATTAATATCCAGGTCACACAACAGCCCACAGCCACAGAGTGTGTTCGTCAATAAGTGATTATGTTGATGTGGGCTGCAGGAGGACAGATCTATAACACTTATCTACTGTTACACCCCAACACACACGTCTATTTGCAAACCAGAGGAGGATGGTGCTGAACATCGTTATCTGGGATGCCCTGCTGTGTGTGAGGCTCTCTCTGTGAGGACCACACTGAGCTTTACACTGAGTGAACTGGGCCTTTCTGGGACAGTGAGGACATTTTCTCTGTCCTCACTCTGACTCACCTTCACAGGACTCAGCCATGCAGCTGTGACTGTCTGCACACAGACAAAGATATACATACAAACATGTTTGTGAATGTGATCAATCTGAACTGTGATCATACCTTTGATGCCCCATGGCTGCTAGCTGGTTCCCTACTGAGAGACAGAGACATAGATTAGACATGAAGTCACCTTTTACTGCAGTATCGGGGATCTGATGGACCTGCTGGACAACAACACACGGCTGTATTTTACAGCAGCAGCACGAGTGACAGCCAGTCTGGCATCATTTTAATTTTAATTTTAATCAACAAATCCCAACCCAACAAAGTCAACTCCTGCTGCAATAATAAACCTCTCACCAACATACAGCGCCATTTCTTTAAAAAACGGCTCAGTAATGTCCAGTCTTCTACGACAGGTGGTTCTAACTCAGTAACTCAGGCTGCTCCCAGGAAGGCTTGGGCACAGCGCAGAAGTGTTTCTGCAGAATGCCTAAGCTGGATCAACGTAGGCGACATATCAGAATTTAAAAACAACTGAGTTATATGCTCTGAAAAAAGAGAGGTGACTCGATCTCAAAAGCAAACATGAGCTGGCAAAAGGGAACGACCTGTCAATCAACAGTGAGTGTCTGGACGAACGTTTGTGTGACTGGCAGCATCACCGATCAAACAGCTGTTGACTGGCTGCCACTCCTAGTCAACAACAGTCGACTAGGGGTGGCAGCTCCACAGAGAACACAGGAAGTACAGCTGTTTTACTGGGAACCAGTTCTATTTAACCCACATATATAGTCATTAAATCTCAAACATGTCTGGTGAAATGAACAGACACCCCAGGTTCTTGGTCTGCTGAGAAGTTCCTGTTTGGCTCCAAGTTGTAGCTCAGGTGCAAACAATGTAAAAAAATGTTAAATTGAAAAAGCTGTGGTGGGACATTTGTGATCGTCCTCTCCATCTGCTCCTCACCTCCATCTTCTCCTGGTCGTTTCTGGCCGGGGTAGTACAGCGAAGGCTCGACGCTTCCTGAGGAGCTGTTGAGGTGGGACATGGTATCTCCACCCATCTTACCCACCATCTGAACCACAGGCAGAAAGAGAAAACAGGGTCAGCAAAAACAAAATAATTCAGTAGAAACAGAGCTGAGTTCAGACACAGACTGTAAGTCCTGAGTCAAACTAACAAGCTCCAAGTCAAGACCAGAGTTTAAGGTCAACTACCAGGTCAAGTTTCAAGTCATGACCAACTAGTCCCAAATCATGCCAAACCGTTTCAGTGCACATCTGAGATGAACAAGTCTACATGTCAAGTCCGACTAGAGGCGGAACATTTACATCAACAGCACCTTGTAGACGTTTGATGACAAACACTTGTGTCTAAACAGATTCACCCACGGTCTGAATTACTCTGCGTTTTTGGGAATGGAATGTCAAGACTGATTTTAAATTATGACTCAAGTTGCAAAGAACATGTAGACGTTCTGACCAACTTCTGTATTTTACACACTGGTATTACTAGGGTTGATGTTACGGGATTGAAAACTCACAAGTGCAAGCAAAACGGGAAAAATGGCAAAAGATCAACAGGCCAGACGGTGAACGGATCACGAATAAAGGGACTCTCGTTATTTACAGACAACGCACACCTATAAGCTCTGCACCCACAAGAGACGAGGCTCTGCGCTGGATGACAGGTGGAGCTGGTGGCAGCTCCAACACGTTGATCTGTGCAGTGAGGAGCCAGTGGAGCAGAGGCCAGCAGCTCTGTGCACAGCGACGCCGTTCTCAGCCTGTGGAGCTGCATGGTGGAAACAGACAGCCTCCGTGTTTCCTGAGGAGGAAACCTGCTGCCCAGTGCAGCGGTGTATGAAGCGGCTCAAGGGAGGGGGGGGGTTCTAGGGCACAGAGCGATGACGCCACACTCACTGGTTGGTGGAGAGTAACACACAGAACCGCCGGCTGCGTCCATTAAATAAAACAACAGAGTTAATTACTACAGAAACAATCGGTGCTATTTAGAGAGTGCATTTGGTCCAAGTCATGTGACCTCTGGTAGTGCTGCCCAGGACATGAAATGTTTTCAAACTGCAGCGTCAGTCCGGAAAGCAATGGGGCAATGACACAATCAGCCCTTTAAACTGAAAGCACAACGAAAACAAAAGTGAAAGACGGCTTCCTCCGGTGTCGCATCGTGTACATAATTAAACCTAGCCAACAGTAGCACATGACGGAGGCCAGGCAGGAGCACTTTCTGCCCAGCTGACCCAGAAACGTGACAGTTCATAACAGCTGGCAGCTGCATTTCCAGAGTGAATGTCAGTGAAGCTGCAGCGGTTTCTTCCTCCCTCCTCGCCCCAAACAGGAACCTTCCTAATAAGGTTCCTTGTTTGGCTGCAGACGCACAAGCTGCTCTGCAGTCATGTCGGAGCCACCGCAGACGTTCGGACACATGTATGTATGTATGTATATAATGTTTATGAATACCGCCTGTCCTCCTCCTCCCACCCTTCCCCTACCTTTGATCGCACTACTCTATTGTCTGTTGCCTAAAATCCACCGAGAGCCTCGGTGCTCAGCGTACATGGTGATTAAAGCTGATTCTGACTGAGTGATGGATGTGACCAGTAAACACAGAACTGCTCGGCGCTAAACTACTCTGTCTGAACGTCAGTCCTATTGTGCTGCGTAATGTGAAGCTCAGTATGTTTCAGCTTGGGTCAAACCGTCTCTACGTTTTTGTCCTTATTCACCCGTATGAGGGGTTCAGAATATTAGGAACCCCTGTGAATGTAATACAGTCCAGTAGAACATCTTTAACTATGAGCTCAATAATCAACATGTAACTGAATGCAGACATCAGCAACAGCTTCACAGTTTAAAGTGTCCCCGGCAACTAAGTGACAGTGAGTCAGGTTCCGTCTGATTCATCAACATCATCTGAGCAGCTTTGGGCACAAAGTCGGAGCCGTTGGGACAACCCGAGACGGAGACGCAACATGATGCAGCTGCATCCACTGGAAATTAAGCAACATCACAACAACTGACTGATGTTGTCACTGTCGGTCAATCTGCACATTATTTTCTCAATTAATCACTGAAACATTTGTTTTCTAAAATGTCAGAAAACAGTGCATCTTTGCCCTTAGACTGACAGAGGTGTTTCTAATAAACTGACCACAGTGAATCTGCTGCTCTCCCTAACGTCTCTTCAGCCCAGACACTCTATTGAGACTTGAACCGGACCGACTCCACAAACCACTCCGTCCCGCTCTCTGCCCCTCCCGTCCTGTTTCCTGAAGCGATGACGTGAACTACAGAAGCCTGGTTGGGACAACCTGTACAAACACAGCTTCCAGTCTGCAGCTACAGTTAGCTAAGCTTTGTCAGCTGTTAGGTCACATCATGATGGCGACACCGAACCCAGATGACACCTGAACCAGAAATGAACTGAGGGAAGGTTTGGTAACTTAACACACAGATAAGGAGGCAGTTTGTGTTGGGTTTATTGTCACAGTGACAGAGTCGAGTGAGGCCAGTCGGACTTTTAGCTGCCCAGAGCTCCTCCATGGCTCTTTGACATGACTACTGGCTGGAAAAACCCTTCCTCTAACCTTGGCTAGGCGGCAGGCGGGGATGATTTACAGACCGTACTTTGACAACACAGGGTGGAGAAGCTGGAATAACAACAGGAGGCTGTAGGCAGCAGAGGGTCATGGAGGGGGGGGGTAGCTGGGAGACACCACGTACCACAGTGTGTTCATCTTCAGCTGCCTGATGAATCTGATCTGACACCAGCTGCAGATGCTACAGCCAGTCCTGCTACCCGAGCTGTGCCGACGGCTCAGTCACAGTACACAGCACCACAGCTCATTCACAGCCATTAGTTTGAGCTGCTAGCTGACCTCACCTTGGAGAACACAGGGCAAGGCGCTGCCAACAGCACACACAGGGAGGTAACCTTGAACGCTTTCATGATAAAAAGGAAAGAGGAGCAGCAGAGAGGCGGGGAGGGATCTGCCACTCTCAGCAAACACACACACTGATTCACCGCTTCACCTGCGGCCTCGCGTTGTTTTAACAACATGACAGGTACACAACATCATTACAATCATTACAATAATCACCAGTACATTACAATCTCATCCACACAAACAATACCAACATGTCTGAATCAGCAGGGAGAGCCTCTGCATCAAACCGAGCACTCCCAGGGTCTCCATATCGACAACTGACAATGAAGGTATGAGGGAATGAAGTGTACGATTTGACTGAGCAACCAATCACCTGCTGAGCTCTGACACACTCTGCTTATTGATCATGGTGTGTGGCTGCTACCTGCACCGTTTCATCATCACAGGCCTGGTTTCAGTCTGAGCGCCTGATGCACCGAGACTAGACCCCCATAATGTTGAACTTTAAAAACAAGTCTCTGTCACATGAAGCAGAGTCTGTAGCAGCTCACGTCCACCACACCGCACCCAACACCGTTCAAGGCCTTCTTACTAGAGCAGAGAATCATTTCAGAACATTTTCATGGTCAAAGTATGACTGGAAACAAATAAGAGGCACAAAGTTACTGCACAGAGTTACAGCGGAGGGGGCTGAATGCTTACATCCTGGTTTTAGCAGTGAAGACGTGTCACTGTGTTGGAGCTGATGGAACGATGGAGAAGCCTCAGTTCACTAACAAGTGGGCTGCATATGATGTCATGTCACTAACCCTAACCCTGTGTCACATGCTCCCAAAATGCCTATAGTTTGTGTCACATACAGCTGATCAGATCAGTCACACTGACAAAGCTTTAATCGAGCACCAAGCGCAGTTGTTCATATGGGGGGAAATGCAAGAAACTGACTATAATACGCTGATACTGTGTCTGAGCGTTTTCTCCCACCCGGATGTTTCCCTTAGCGCCTTCATCAGTGGTCAGGGCTAGGGTAAGGTTTGATTCATGTTAAGTTATTATGGGGGGGAACAGCTTGGCGAGGGAACACACTTCAACACAACACTGACAACAATGGCCTGCAAAGCCTTTGTCTGGGACAGGGAGGAGTGGAGCAGGCGAAGGCTCCGCTGTGCAGTGATCACTTATGTAGCTAGCTAACTGCTAGCTTGAGCTGCAGTGACTTCTCTGTCCTGGTTCATGATGATCATCCAATGTCTTTAGCAGGGCTGCCCCCCGCAAAAGCTGACTAGAGGAGTCATTAGCTGAAACACCCGTCAGTCAACAGACTCTTCTAGTCGAGCCTTTGTTTTATTAGATTTTATTTTTTTGTCAGCCAGTGTGCATTACAATAGAAGGCAGCCCCCAGCCGGTAGTTTGTCATCTTCTTCTCCTCATTTTGCTGTGCTGAGCAGTAGTTTGATCAGCACTGCCCCCTGTGGTCAGAGGATACCCACTTCAACAGTGACACTGCCCGATACATGAATGCACATTAAGGTCGGGCCTATTTAGCAAATTGCATAAGGAGGAGAAAGGGACAACGAAACTACTAGTATGAGGCACATAAACGTGAGATTTGTACATTATTAAAAGTGTTTTCAAACATCGTGGTCCACATTTACAAGAGAAAAGACTGTCACGACCATGTGGCTGGTTTTGCCTGATATGCGAGTCTGATTTGTTTACCCATCTCCATTAAAGTGTAACACACAGCTGTTTACTGACTGTTTCTTCAACATGCTTCCATCTGAACGGGACTAGGAAGCTAACAAAAATACAGAGGGAAAACATGAGGAATTATAAATAGGAGGAATTGTTCGCAATGCAAGTTGGCGCACATCAAACACACAGTAACGACATGTGCCGTGGTTAACGGACAGGAGAAGCTTAAACCTGTTGGTAAACTCTATAGTATATACATACTATAACCACGTCTCAGGAGAAGACAGAGCATTGTTTCAAAGAAACACAAGTGAGCTGCCTGTCTCGTTACTCCAACAAATCCATCTGGCAGCCTGACGTTAGATATTGTCAGTTTAAATAGGTCACAATTTAACTATTGTGTCATATGCAGCTGTCTTTTGATTTTTAAAGGCTCAGAAATATGTTCCACTTGCTTTTGTGCATTTAAATACTGATGTTAATGTGAAATCATTGCTGAAATTTATGCCAGTTGATTTTGACAGTCTGGGCTATTTAACAAAAAAGAAGAAGAACAAGAAGGAACAGTCAAAGAGTTGCACCGAAAAGCCGACTGACAAAATCCTTAGTCGGGTATAGTCCTAGTCTTAGTCACTGGACCTTTGAGAGTGGTTAACATGAACGGGGCGGGGCTACAAACCCAACAGCGAGTTTCATTTTGTCCTGTCATCACTTTAAGTCACTGAGTTAACGTTAGTTAGCGACAGCTGGTACGACCCTGCTGGGTGTCCTTTTAACCAGGAACCGTGACGATCAGCAAGTGGATGGACGACTCCTCGTTGGACTCTGACTGCAATGAAATTTCCTGCCGTCTCAAATATTTAAATGCTAAAATTGAAAACCGATTACCGAACAGCCGACTATTTGGGCCCAGGCCCACTTCTAAGGCCTTTTCATGAGAACTGAAATCAGTTTCTAAAGCTGCTGCAGTATTCACTGTTTCAACTTGTTTCCAGTTTCTTTACAGCCTGACACACAGCTGGACAAAGTGAACACAGATAAAGAAATGTTGCAGTTTCACTAACATCTGTTCACCGAATTAAAACCGTACAAGGCTGGATTCAGCCCCTGAGGGGCCCCCGCTCACCCGTACAATGCACATCACTTTCATTAGTTCACCCAGAAAGCAGCCATGACTCTGCAACTGAAGTGAGGGCTCACCAATCAGTCAAATCACAGGCACTGGCAACAGGTTTGATTAATCACTCAGGTCTCTGTCCACACATCAGTGACAGCAGCTTCTCCAGTGGGAATGCCTGACAGTTTTTCTGACAAACAACTCAACATCTATGGGGTTTGGACTGTGGCCCAGACTAAACTGGACATGTGAATATGTTCACTTGAGGGAATAACGACAGGTGTGTGTCACTGGTTTCCACTAAACGATCTGTTTGGCTGTTAAAGAAACCGTCAGATGCACAGATAATGAAAATTATGGTTGGGTTCAGCCTTACGGTCATCCTGTGATGAGTGACACCTCTCTACCTGAGGGTTTCTGTCTGTCTGCAGAAACTAATGAAATACAACTTTACAACCAACAACCTCAACACAACCTGCAACAAATCAGGTCCTAAATTTACCTTTGGACAGAGACCTTGTACAAGATGGAGGACCTGGTGTGGATGATAATCTACTTCATGGTGCATTTAACCACATTATGTCGACAGAAATGGACCATAGTGAAACTGGGGGTCCTGGGGCCCCTGGGCAGCTGCCCACCTGCACCCAGTCCACATGAAGGCAGCTCCAGCATGGACAGGGTTGCAGTCTGAGCGCCCACCAACTGGCCCCCGCTGCTGGGTCCCAGTCCTGCGTCTATACGAGCATACACACCTCCACTGGGCTGTATATGGCTGCGGGGCTGTTGCATAACGCCAGCCTAGTTTCTAACCAACTTACAGTAAACAGCAGCCTGTAAGGGAGGGGGGCCACC